CTCAGTTTATCCAATGTCTCTACAGGAAAGGGATAGAGAAAGAAAACCAAGCCTCGTGTAAAGGACTGAATTCTCTCCTGCATGCTGCATATTTACACTGGAGTATAAACACAGGGGGAAACGCATATGCCCACTTTGAGGCGATGTGATTGTACTTTATAGGGGCACACATCTAGCAACCAGGTAAATTATTTATCCAGACAAACACCCAGGCTTCAGCAGATGTTCATCCAATATAGACGGAAAGGCATATGGGTCCAGGAGATGGCATCTCCGCTAATGGGCTTTTATAGAACAGGAACCCTTGTACTAGGGACGAGAGGACACAGGGAGAGTCAGATACAGGTACACAGGAAACACTTCCAAGGGTGGTGGTACAGGTGGGTTCAGGCAAAGTGAGCACAGGTGCCATTCTAACCTGGGGTCCCCTTTCCCCTCTTCCTCCACCCAAGCATCACAAGTCTGACCTGCAGCACCCATGAATAGTCAGATGAGCGCAGGTCACTAGTACAAACTGCATGGCTATTTTAAGAGGACTGAGGGTGGAACCTACCAAACCGGTTTCTTTGTGACTCAGTGCAGGATTTGAACCCATCTCTAGGAATAATGGATTATGCCATATAATCCAGGGCAGTGGACTAGGAGATAGGACAGCTGGGTTCCACTCCTACCTTTGCCACTGACCTGATGTCTGACTTTGGGCAAGGCCCTGGCCCTTGCTGTGTCTAAGTGTCCCCATCTGTAAAAGGGGAGTAGTAATACCCTCCCTTGTAAAGTGCAGTGAGAGCTATGAGCAAAAAGCATTGTATCCAGTAATGAGAAGTCCTTTCTATGGGGAGGAGAGTTGCAGTGAGTCTAGGGATGACAGCCCTGGCTGGGATGATTTAGTTGGGGTTGGTCCTGCTTTGAGCAGGGGCTTGGACTGGATGACTCCTGAAGTCCTTCCCAACCCTGAGATTCTATGACAGGAAATGCCCAGAGGCGTGGCTTAGGTGAGTGCCATGTTGTTTGTAAGCCACCTTCTCCTAATGGCCACAACTGCCAGCCAGAGCGGCCCCATCACTGCTGCTCACCCTCCCTCCTCTGAACTTCCCTATGAGCCACATTTGCGATAGTAAGTAACAGGGCCGGCTCCAGGGTTTTGGCCGCCCCAAGCAGCCAAAACAAAACAAAACAAAACAAAAGCTGCGATCGCGATCTGCGGCAGCAATTCGGCGGGAGGTCCTTCACTCCCAGGCGGAGTGAGGGACCGTCCGCCGAATTGCTGCCGAATACCTGGACGTGCCACCCCTCTCCGGAGCGGCCGCCCCAAGCACCTGCTTGAGAAGCTGGTGCCTGGAGCCGGCCCTGGCAAGTAAGAAAACAGCTGCAGCCCAAACACCCAATGTTCTGTGGGGAGGACAAAGATCGGGAAGCCCAAGGGAAAGATGCCAGTAGCCCATGCAAACCTGGATAAAAAGCCAGTGTGACTAAACCTTTGACTG